CTTCAGGCCGCGCACGCCCAGCTCTGGGCCGTGGAGTCGGTTGTTCTGCTCAGAGACTTGAGGACCCTCAGCTGCGCGTCTGACACTGGAGGGTGCAGAGGAAGGAGCGCAGACTTGGGTCAGAGACACCTGTTCCTACCCGGGACCTGCCATTTCCATCCTGTGACTCTGCAAACGTGTCTTCCTCTTTCTCCACCTCCGACCTCATGTCAGTAAGACGGGGGCCAGGGTCAGAGCCGGAGGACCCCGGGCCTGACCGTGCACCAGGGATGGCCCAGCATTTACCAGGTTCTGCCTCTTTGGCTTCTGTGGAAACAGAGGTACTTTTCCTCAGAAAACCCTGTCGTTTCGTTAGACGTGCAATGCATTTCCTGAGAGGTGACGTGACCAGAGCTGGAGGAAGCCGACCAAGGCGCACACCCTTCCCAGGCTGCCTCAGGCACTAGGCCCGTGGGCATGTCAGCAGCCACAGGGAACCAGCACAAAGGACAGCTCCCCCCTGTCGTTGAGGGTGGACCCTGACTTGGGGCACCATGCTCCTGGGTGCTGCTCCAGGAAATGCTTGTCCAGCCTCCGGTCTCCCCGCTTCATGGGGCAGGTGCCAGCTCGGAGCTCCGCCGACCCCGGTGCCCGACAGCATCTCCCACGTGTCCATCCCCACCTCCCAGGGAGAAGCCCAGACCGGTGGGCCACGCCCTGCACCTGCCCTCCCCGCACCTGGGCACACCTGTAGCCAGGACACCTGGAGGAAGGAGAGGTTGCCAGGTGACCGGGATCAGCCAAGTCCAGTCTCCTGCCTGGGGCAGTGGGTTCAGTACTTTTCCAAAGTGTTTTCCCCAAACGGCGGAGTCAGCGACAGCACCGCCTGTTCTGCAGGCAGCCCGGGAGGTGGCGGGGGTGGGGGTGGGGGGCGGTGCAGACTCCCCACACGTCCCCGTGAGTCCCTGCTCGAAGCCTGGCCCTGAGCAGAGCCAGCGTAACCCTGCAGCAAATACACGCTGCGGAGGCCCTGAGCTGCCCGTAGGGACAGCTGGCGGGAGGTGAGCAGATGGTGCGTGGAGGCTGACTCTGGTGGGTGATGCGCCTGGGGCTGCTCCTTCCTTCCTCCCGTCCCTGCAGGACACGCTTGCAAGTGTGCACGACCCTCATCAGCCTCCCCCTCACTGGCCTTACATATCAGTCCTGGCCTTTGCTCCTCACTCCTCCCCGAGTCTGTGTGTGTGTA